TGAAACTCCATCTTTCCTAAAAATACAAAAATTAGTTGGGTGTGGTGGCGGGCCCCTGTAGTCCCAGCTACTTGGGAGGCTGAGGTGGGAAAATCACCTGAACACAGGAGGCAGAGGTTGCAGTGAGCTGAGATCGTGCCACTGCACTCCAGCCTGGGTAACAGAGAGACTCTGTCTCAAAAAAAAAAAAACTCAGTTTCTTGGGCTCCTGTTTCTAAAACCTCTTATTTTCTCAATTTGTGATAGAAGAAAATGGACATTTTTTCCTTGATATTTTCATCCAAGTATGAATTTCTTCTAAGAAAACAAGTTATTTCTTTATTTTGTTCAGTGCCTACCACACTTTGAATGATTCATTACCATAGTCACTAGAAAATGTATTCTTTAAGCAATATAAGTACGTAAATGCATTTATATAATATGATAAATCTATATATAGATAAATAGGAAGTAGAATCTTCAAATGATATTTTTACATTATCCACCTACCACACATCACAACAGCTTGTAGATATCATTCAGGCTTATCTTCTGTGGGCCAAATCGGACCTCCCAGCCTATTTTTGTAAAGAAAGTTTCATTGGAACACAGCTCCACCCATTCATTTAGTACTGTCTGTGGCCTACAAAGGTAGGAAACCCTATGGCCCTCAGAGCCAAAAATATTTACCATCTCTCCCTTTACAGAAGGTTTGCTTATATAATCACCCCCTTTTTTTTTTTTTTTTTTTTTTTGAGACTCAGTTTTGCCCTTTTTGACCAGGCTGGAGTGCAATGGTGCGATCGGCTCACCAGAACTTCCGCCTCCCAGGTTCAAGCGATTCTTCTGCCTCAGCCTCTCAAGTAGCTGGGATTACAGGCATGCACCACCATGCCTAGGTAATTTTGTATTTTTAGTAGAGACGGGGTTTCTCCATGTTGGTCAGGCTGGTCTCGAACTCCTGACTTCGGGTGATCCACCCACCTCAGCCTCACAGAGTGCTGGGATTACAGGCATGAGCCACTGCGCCCGGCTTATAATCAACTTTAATACAGAACTTCACCACCACAGTCAATCTAATAATCCAGACAGCTCCTAAGTGACTAAGGGGCAGGTAACATAGACAGCATGTGCAGGACAAACTGATAATTCACGTCCTAGGCAGGACAGAGCAGAACAGCACAAGATTTCTTCACACTACTTAGAACAGCATGTCATTTAAATCTTATGCATTATTTCTGGAATTTTCCAGTTAATATTTTCGGATCACAGTTGGCCACAGATAACAAACTGGAAAGTGAAACTGCAAATAAGGGGAGACTCTGCATTCCACTTTTTAAATTTTTGGTACAGTAAGAATTTGGTAGAGCATCTATTTGGTTGTAGCAAAAATAATAAATGATTTAATATAAAATGATGTTTTGAAAATAAAAAGTAAAATTTGTTCTGTACCCTTATTTGGAATTTTAAAAATAAACACTTGGATTTGTTGTGTGTGTGTGTGTTTTCTATAAGCTATTTAAGATCAAAAATTACTGCTTTCTTAGAATTGCAATTAAGACATACTTTTTATGAATGAGAATTTTAAGACACTCATTCTAGGGCAACTTTTTCTACAGAAATTATCAACCATATTTTAGGGAGTAGTTAGAAAAGTCATGTACAATATTAAGCCAAATGTTAATACAATTGTTAGCAACAAGAAGCAGAATAAATTACCTACCTACTAGCATTGTAATTATCTTCTGAGAATCGGAAGCATTACTAAATTTTATGTATATGTACTAAGTATGCTCTTGGGGTTTTCCATAGTCAAGGTCTCATTAAATTGTACTATCTTATTCATACATGTTAATGTAAATTTTTCTATGGAGAACAACTAGGTAATTTGGGGCTCTTAACTCTAAACAGCCAAAGGGAAAACAATAAAAGAGAATGCTTAAATTAAAAAGTTCTTGTAAGCAAACTGGAGGCCAAACTATATTTAAACTCAGTCTGTCATAATTATTGTTAATGGTTAGTGTCATTCTCAATATAACTAAGGCATACTTTGCAGCACCCCAGATGAAATAATAGGATATTTTAATAATATGCTTTGGCAGTACCAAGCATATTTTTAATACTTAGTATAAACTAACTAAACATAAATCTTAGAGTTTCTATGTCTTTTGATACACATTAAGAAAATTGATGTTGTTTTATTTCAAAGGAAGCCATGAATCACCCAGGCCATCTTAAACTATTTGTGACAAGGATCATGCAAGACTTTGAAAGTGACACCTTTCTTCCAGAAATTGATTTGGAGAAATATAAGCTTCTACCAGAGTAAGTATATTATTTAAAAAAAAAAAAAAAAAAAAAAAAAGGCCAGGCACAGTGACTCATGCCTGTAATTCCAGCACTTTGGCAGGTCGAGGGGGGCAGATCACCTGAGGTCAGGAGTTGAAGACCAGCCTGACCAACGTGGCGAAACCCCATCTCTACTAAAAATTAAAAAAATTAGCTGGGCATGGTGGCACATGCCTGTAATCCCAGCTACTTGGGAGGCTCAGGCAGGAGAACTGCTTGTTCCTGGGAGGCAGAGGTTGTAGTGAGCCAAGATCACGCCATTGCACTCCAGCCTGGGTGACAGAGCAAGACTCTGTCTTCAAAAAAAAAAAAAAAAAAATTTTAAGCCCTGAGCATGTGATGTCTTTCCCCTTGTTTAGGTCCTATTTCGTTCAGCAATGTTTTATACCTTTCAGTGTTAAATTCATTCTTATGTATTATATTCCTTTTGATGCTGTTGTAAATGGTGTTTTCTTTAGTTTCAGACTGTTCATTGCTATTTACAGAAATGCAAGTAATTTTTGTTTATTGATCTTGTATCTTGCAACCTTGCTGAACTCATTTAGTAATTCTGATTCTTAGTAGATTCCTTAGGATTTTCTCTACAGTATAATGTCATCTGCAAATATATAGGTTTACTTCTTCCTTTTTAATCTGGATTTTTTTTACTTTTTTCTTTGCCTAATTGCCATGGCTAGACCTGCCAATACAGTGTTGACTAGAAGATAGCAAGAGCAGACTTACTTGTCTTGTTCCTAATCTTAGAGGGGAAGCTTTTCTCTCTCATCAAGTGTGATTTAAGCTGTTAGTGCCTTTATCAAATTGAGGAAGATCCCTTCTGTTTCTAGTTTATTTAGTATTTTTTTATCATGAGAGTATTATAGATTTTGTGACATACTTTTTCTGAGTCTATTGAGATGATCATGTGGTTTTTGTCTTTTATACTAATACTTTAATGTACTATTAATATGGTATATCACATTGATTTTCACGTTAAACTAATGTTTCTGGGATAAATTCTACTTGGTATCTAATCCTTTTTATATGTTACTGGGCTTAGGTTGCTAGTACTTTGTTGAAGATTTTTGCATTTATATTCAGAAGGGGTGATTTATAGTTTGTTTGTTTTTCTTTTTGAGACGGAGTCTCGCTCTGTCACCCAGGCTGGAGTGCAACAGCACAATCTCAGCTCACTGCAAGCTCTGCCTCCCAGGTTCATGCCTCCTGAGTAGCTGGGACTACAGGTGCCCACCACCACGCCCAGCTAATTTTTTGTATTTTTAGTAGAGACAGGGTTTCACCACATTAGCCAGGATGGTCTCGATCTCCTGACCTCATGATCCGCCCACCTCGGCCTCCCAAAGTCCTGGGATTACAGTTTTTGTTTTTGTTTTTTTTAAATGCCTTCCCCTGGTTTTGTTATCAGGATAAAAGTGACCTCACAGAGTGAATTAGGAGATGCTCTCTTCCCTTCTGTGATTTTGAAAGAGTTTGTGATGGATTGGTAGTACTTCTTAAATGTCTTAGAAAATTTTAATAGTGAATAGATTGAGATAGGAATAAGGAAATTGCTTCAAAGTGGAGATTCTAAACAAGGCTATGGGAGAAAGCAAAAAACTCTTCCATTGCAACATTTGATGGTCATTTGTACTTTCAGGCATCTACTAACATAACATCATAACAGCCTCTTTAATGGAATGGAGGGAATTCTCTAACGGGAGACCTAGAATAAGTCAATCCTTCATTCTCTGGAGAAAGGAAACCTGTGAAGATAAAGTGAATATACCTTGTCCCTGGAAAACTAACATTGCTCAATTCTGGAGCGGCTTTCTCTCCAGATCTCTGTGCGCTGGGGAACTTGGATTTGCTTTCTACTGTCCAAATATAAACTTTGGTCATTCTCCACCTCCCCTATCCCTTTCCCCACAGCTACTCACTTAGTTTAAGCCCCGTTGTCTCTATCAGTTGACCTCTTGTGGTTATATAGGTTTCTGTTCAAATATAATGTATTTTATTAACACTATTCTTCCCGATTTAAAAAATAAGACACACTAGTATAGTGAAATACCGATGAAAGAGAGAACTGTGAGGCAAGAAGAGAATAAAATTAGAATGTAGAAGGAGCCACAAGTGATGGAAGCCAGAGCAGAAGGTCATATTAATAAAGTAAGGTAGTTTTACTTTTGTCTGCCTTCATCCCTGTAGGTCATTGTTTGGGCAGTCAATTTTTCAACAGCACTGTGCCAGCCTGTCCTCTAGGGCTCTGCTCTTACTCATCTTACCTGGAAGAAATCTATCTCAGACTATTTCACACTAGACCCCAACCAAACCAGCAGGCCCAGATATTTTATATCGGCAGTTTTCTACTTAATGAGCCCCCAACAGGCTTTTACTTCTAGTTAACAATCTTGTGTGTGACCACATAGTCAAAGAGAATAGAGATTAAAAGAGGCCTGTGGAGGCAGTAGTTGGCTCCAGAGCTGGGACAGATGCCCCTTGTCAATGGACACCTTGAAGTAGGTTTTGGATAGGCTGATGTTTCTTCTTCTGACCCTACAACTTCCTGTCTGGATGCTGGCATACTCGTCCACATTACTCAGCTGCCCCTTTGCTCCTGAGCCTGTGCTTCCTGTAGAGTCTTGATTTTAATTGTGTTTTGGTTTTTCGGTTTATTTTTTGTTTTTGAGATACAGTCTTGCTTGGTTGCCGAGGCTGGAGTGCAGTGGCACGATCTTGGCTCACTGCAACCTCCTCCCAGGTTCAAGCGATTCTCCTGCCTCAGCCTCCCAAGTAGCTGGGATTACAGGTGCCCGCCACCATGCCCAGCTAATTTTTGTATTTTTAGTAGAGATGGGGTTTCACCATGTTGGCCAGGCTTGTCTCGAACTCCTGACCTCAGATGATCCACCTGCCTCGTCCTCAGCTTCCCAGAGTGCTGGGATTACAGGCGTGAGCCACCGCCCCCGGCCCAGAAACTTCTTGATATGTCGCTTTTGTCTTATGAACTGACAGTCTTGACACTTGAGAATTTTGCACCAAAAATGTATGTAGATGTTACTTTTCGTGACTCATTTCAGAGAGACTAAAATTATAATAGAAAATGGTTAATAGAAACATTGCTTCTTCCTCTGAAATATAAATTATTCCAGAAAGCATCTTTTTCCCTATAATTTTGTTACTTTGTACCCCTAATTTTTTTTTTTACCAAAATTGCATAATCTCTCATTAGTTAACAAAGGTTAATGTCTGTTATTACTCAGCAATGTATTGAATATCACGAGACTTAAACGTTTACTGTGTTTTCCCTGCCTACAGTGAGTTTTAAAAATAGAGAAATGAAACAAACCAATAATACTAGTAGGCACCATTTATAGAACACTTAATGTGTTAGGCACAATGCTACATTCTTTTTTGGTTTTTTGGGGTGGGGGCGGAATCTTGCTCTGTCATGGAAGCTGGAGTGCAGTGGCGCCATCTTGGCTCACTGCAACCTCCACCTCCCAGGTTCAAGCAATTCTCCTGCCTCAGCCTCCTGAGTAGCTGGGATTACAGGCACCCGCCACCATGCCCAGGTAATTTTTGTATTTTTATTAGAGACAGGGTTTCACCATGTTGGCCAGGCTGGTCTTGAACTCCTGACCTCAAGTGATCCACTCACTTTGGCCTTCCAAAATGCTGGGATTACAGGCATGAGCCACTGCACCTGGCCAACAATGCTAAATTTTTTACAAGGATGAAGACTTTGACAGCCAGGCTCAGAAGCATGTCACACAGCAGAACCAGAATGAAGCGCAGTCTGATTCAAGCAGGTGTTCCTGACTACCTGGAGCATACTGGGGTGCAGCCTGCATAGTACTGAAGAAGTAACCAAAGATTGGGGTTCACTGGAGGCTGGAATGGTCAGAAGATTCCTCAGTGGAGAAGCTGGGTTTTGGATGGGAAGCTGGAGAGAACACAGGTTTAAGTGAGAGTTAGGGAACAGGAATAGCAGATCCTAATAAAGGAATTACAATCTGCCACACATTGTGGAATTAGAGCAGTGTGGTGTCCATCAATCAAACTGAAGCAGAGAACCTGTCACTGTCCAGGGCACATAATTTCAGTTATGCCCTAAACAGCTTCGGGTTGTATTTTGTCTTTTGCTTACACAAGAAATGTGATACCAAATGTAAGTCTTGCCAAAAGTTCTTAAGAAATTTCCTATGAGCTGGGTGATAGAGAGGAAAGATACGAGGGAAACTGCTAACTGGTTTTTGAGAGAAGGAGGAATCCAAAGGAAACAAAAGAGGAGAAATTACACTTTTTGTTTTCTAACTTTCTATATAGTTTATAGTTTTTGTCTTATTTGCATATGTAGTATATTTGCATGATATTTATCCAACTTGACAGTGGTTTACCATTGTGAAGAAAAAAGGGAAACTTTTTATTTGCTTTATGCATTATTGATGCGTTTAAACTGAGAATGACGGAAGCTGTGTTTTTAATGGACACATAATTTAATTATATATTTTTTTCTTTTACAGATACCCAGGTGTTCTCTCTGATGTCCAAGAGGAGAAAGGCATTAAGTACAAATTTGAAGTATATGAGAAGAATGATTAATATGAAGGTGTTTTCTGGTTTAAGTTGTTCCCCCTCCCTCTAAAAAAAGTATGGATTTTTACATTAGAAAAAAAGTATTTTGTTGACTTTAGATCTATAATTATTTCTAAGCCACTTGTTTTTATTCCCCACTACTCTTGACTCTATCAGATACCATTTATGAAACATTCTTGCTATAAATAAGTGCTTCCCCAAGACCCCAACTGAGTCCCCAGCACCTGCTACAGTGAGCTGCCTTTCCACACCCATCACATGTGACACTCTTGCCAGTCCTTGACATTGTCGGGCTTTTCAAATGTTGGCAATATTTATTAAAGGTGAAGATCCACATACCCTTCAACTGAGCAGTTTCGCTAGTGGAAATACCAAAAGCTTCCTACGTGTATATCCAGAGGTTTGCAGATAAATGTTGCAGCCTTGTTTGTAACAGTGAAAAATTGAAAACAACCTGGAAGTCCAGTGATGGGAAAATGAGTATGTTTCTGTCTTAAATTGGGAAACCCAAAGTAGATTCCAAGACTGAAATTTCAGTGAAAGCAGTTTATTTGCTAGGTCATACCAGAAACCGTCAGTTGAGGTATGGAAAAACTGAACTGAGAAGGTAAGAAAACCAGTTTAAAGTCAGCAAGCAGGTTCTCACTGGTAACAAGCTCCATACTGCTGAGATACAGGGAAATGGAAGGGAGAAAACTGGAGTATTGATTCCCCTCTCTCCTTGGTTGTCAGCTCTCTGTCCTGTGTGTGGGCGGAATGTACTCCAGCTGCTCTATAGCAAGTCCCAGGTGTTTGCAGTAAGAAGCTGCTGGCATGCACGGGAACAGCGAATGCCAAACACTTAAAGCAATTCATGTTTAAGTATGTAAGTGCTTCATATATATGTGTGTGTGTGTGTGTGTGTGTATATATACACACACAATTTTTTTTTTTTTTTTTTTTTAAAGACAGTTTCGCTCTTGTTGCCCAGGCTGGAGTGCAGTGGTGCAATCTCAGCTCACTACAACCTCCACCTTCCCAAATTCAAGCAATTCTCCTGCCTCAGGCTCCCAAGTAGCTAGGACTAAGTGCACGCCACCATGCCCGGATAAATTTTTTATTTTTTATTTTTAGTACAGACGAGATTTCACCATGTTGGTAAGGCTGGTCTCAAACTCCTGACCTCAAGTGATTCGCCCACCTCAGCTTCCCAAAGTGCTAGGATTACAGGCATGAGCCACCACACCTGGCACATCTTCATTCTTTTTATGTAGTAAAAAGAATAAAACCACGCATGGTTTATTTGAAATATTCTATAATTTAAAAAAATACAGAAGCAGGAAAACCAATTCTAAGTTCAAGTGAGGGTTGATGGTTGCTTGAACCAAAGGGTTGCATGTAGTAAGAAATTGTGATTTAAGATATATTTTAAAGTTGTAAGTAGCAGGATATTCTGATGGAGTTTGACTTTGGTTTTGGGCCCACTGAGTTTGAGATGCCTTTGAGAAATGAAGGAAGTAGAGAGAGAATAAAAGAAAAACTAGCTGGGCCCAGTGGCTCACACCTGTAATCCTAGCACTTTGGGAGGCCAAGGCAGGTGGATCAGTTGAGACCAGCTTGGGCAACGTGGCAAAGCCCCATCTCTACAAAAAACACAAAACTTAGCTGGGCATTGTGGTGCACACCTGTATTCCCATCTACTCAGGGAGCTGAGATGGAAGGATCAATTGAGCCCATGAGTCCAAGGCTGCAGTGAGTCGTAATTGTGCCACTGCACTCCAGCCTGGGTGACAGAAGAGACCTTGTCTTGAAAAGGAATCTGAAAACAGTGGAACCATGCCTTCAGAATTCTAGAAAGTTATTTTCAACTGATAAATCTATATTCACCCAAATAATCAAGGGTGAAGGTAAAATACATTTTTAGACAAGCAAAGACTCAGGGGTTACCTCCATGTACCCTTTTTTGAGAAGCTATTGGAGAAAATACTCCAGCAAAGTGAAGGAGTACACAAACCAGAGAATGACATAGATCCAGCAAATAGGATCCAACACAGGCAATATTCCAGCTATGGAGCTGGCTTAAAAAGAAACAGTAAAAATATTAATAGGTTAGCTGGGTGGAATGGCCCATGCCTGTAGTCCCAGCTACTCAGGAGGCTCAGCAAGAGGATGGCTTGAGCCCAAGAGTTCCAGACAAGCCTGGCTACCTTAGTGAGATCCCTTCTCTTAAAAATAAGTTATTGCCAAATTTGAGGCATTTGGAAAGTTCATTGAAGATAAAGCAAAAGTAAAAAAATAAGGGGGAAGGGTTGGTTAGGCAATCATTAATTCTAGGGCAGAAAGAAGTACAGGATAGGAAGAGCATAATACGCTGTTTTTCTCAACAAGGAACAATACATACACAGTCATAATGATGTGGTGACTGCTTAGCCCCTAAATATGGTAACCACTTTGGGACAATATGGGAGGAAGTGAAGATAACGATGGTGTAAGAGCTAAATCCTCACCTGTCATATCCAGAAATCACTATATAATGTACAAAATAATCAAGAAATGACTAAGTAGTTATGTGAGGGAAAAAACAGAAGACATTGCTGGAAGAGTTAAAAGTCATTGCTCTGGAGAATTAGGAGAGATGGGACAGGGGACTGTTAGGATGCATTATAAACTGAAGAAGCTTTTTAAAATTTTATGTATTAATATATGCATTCACTTGAAAAACTAAAAAGATAACAATTTGGAAAAACCCATGAAGGTAACTAACAGAAGGAAAAACTAAGAATGAAAATTGTTTGCCTCTGGAAAGAACAACTGGCAGGACTGTTGTTTTCATTGTAAGACTTTTGGAGCCATTTAATTGTACTTAACCATTTTCATCTATTTCTTGAATAAGAACAATTCTATCTTAATAAGGAGTTACACTTGTTCATAAGTGCTGGCCTCCTGTTGTTCTTTGTACACTCCACACAAAATTTCAAAGAAACTCTGATGGCAATATATCTCCATGGTCAGCTTAAATAGAGAAAGGAAAACATAGAATTAGCCAAGAATCACACAAAACAAAGATTAGTTGTGTTAGGAAACAATCAAAATCAAGTCTTACTTTTTCCAGATTTCCTTATGGAACAGCACTGTAAAGTGATAACTTGGGGCAAACATGTAAATAATAAAACGAATGTTTTAAATGTTCAGATTAGCACATTTTTTGTTTCTGTGAGATTAAAATTGTGTGTGACATACCCACTTCCTTAAAGGCAATGTTTCTCAAAATGTTGTACCTGCTATTCCTGAATCAGGAATGGGTCCCAGAATCTGCCTTTTAAACAAACATCTCAGCTAATCCGAAGCCTGCTTAAGTTTGTAAGGCACTGCTTTTTCACTCTAAGGAAGAAAAAAAAACAAGTTTCAATTCCCATCTCTAAAACATCTCAGTAAAGCAAAACAGGAAAGCAAATTATAAGTTAGTATATGAGATTTCAGAAGGCAAGGTTGTAAAGATTAGATTTTCTCAGCCTGGGCAACATGGCAAAACCACGTCTCTACAAAAAATACCAAAAAACTAGCTGGGTATGGTGGTGCCTTCCTGGAGTCCCAGCTACTTGGGAGGCTGAGGTAGGAGGGTCACTTGAGCCCAGGTTCATTTGCAGTGAACCAAAATCGTGTCATCACTCCAGCAGCCTGGGTGACAGACCAAAACCCTGTATCAAGATTTCCTTGTTGCTGATCTATTTTAAGAGTGAGACCTTCTTAAACGTGTAATGCAAATACATTAAAAAGTATTTAATATCAGTAACTCCAAGAGAAACAGTAAACAAACTCAATAGATTGCCCTTAGCAGATGCTTTTCTTATACAGGTAGTAAACTAAAAACTGTAAATGGCCTAATTAGGCAACATGACTGTGAGGAAAACGTTGGCTGGCCGGCTGTTGAAGGGATTCAGACAAATAGTTATCTATGAAAGATTGAACCTTGTAATTAAAGATGTTCCAGCAGAGAGAAAGAAAAGAAATGCATGATTAAATGACTAATGGAAATAGGATTAGAGACTCTATAAGGAGAAGAGAATACTTTTTGGTTTTGAGACAGTCTTATTCTGTCGCCCAGCCTGGAATGCAGTGATGGCAAAATCTCGACTCACTGCAACCTTTGCCTCCTAGGTTCAAGTAATTCTGCCTCAGCCTCCCTGTAGCTGGGATTACAGGTGTGTGCCACCAAGCCCAGCTAATTTTTTTTCTTTCTTTTTTTTTTTTTTTTTTTGAGACAGTCTCCCTCTGTCGCCCAGTCTGGCGTGCAGTGGTACAATCTCAGCTCACAGCAACCTCCAACTCCAGGGTTCAAGCGATTCTCCTGCCTCAGCCTCACAAGTAACTGGGATTACAGGCCCCACTACCATGCCTGGCTAATTTTTGTATTTTTATTAGAGATAAGCTTTCACCATGTCACCCAGGCTGCAGTGCAGTGGCACCATCTTGGCTTACTGCAACCTCCACCTCCCAGGTTCAAGCAATTCTCCTGCCTCAGCCTCCCCAGTAGTTGGGATTACAGGCATGTACCACCACCCCCAGCTAATTTTTGTATTTTTAGCAGAGACGGGTTTTTGCCATGTTGGCCAAGCTGGTCTCAAACTCCTGACAAGTGATCCACCCACCTCGACCTCCCAGAGTGTTGGGATTACAGGCCTGAGCCACCACGCTCCACCCATTTTTGTATTTTTAGTAGAGAAGAGGTTTCACCATGTTGGCCGGGCTGGTCTCAAATGATCAACTCCTGGCCTCAAGTTATCCACCTGCCTCGGCCTCCCACAGTGCTGGAATTACAGGCATGAGCCACTGCGCCCAGCCCAAGATGTTACTACAGGCCCCCGCCACCACGAGGTTAAAGGGGGATAAAGCTTCTAGCCAAACAGAAGAAAGAAGGCCTGTAAGCTACATGAAGTGCTGTTCTTGTTACCAGGGAGAATTACTTTAATGATCATTTCTAATGATCTGCTCCTGTCCTTCTGTTCCCCAGCTGACCTGATGTGTGCCAGGAAGTTACTCTGTAAATATAGTCACATTTCTGTTAAACTTTTGCTTAAAAAATAAAAAAAATAAAAAAAAAAAACACATTGGTGTGTGATATTTCAAATAGCTTTGTAGTAAGTAATCAAATGTGAAATCTAATTAGAAGAAAAAATGAGATGGTCTCTACTTTGCCTAGGAGCCCTAACACAAAGACAAACACAAGACAAAACCTAAAGGGACAGAGTTTCGTCTGCAAGGAAGAAAAGACTTCACGATGCTGGAAGTCAGGAAAAGCTGGAGGGAAAAGATATTTTTTTCAGCATCTACCAGCTAAAGTAATTTGGGAAAGGGATCCTGAATTAGACTGCCTCCTTTTCATTGCCTAGTCATGGTCCCCTTCAAAGGCCAGAGACAAGGAGTTAGGAGGCTTCCAGTTAACTATCACTGTCCACAGGTTGACTTCTCACTGCCAGTTGTCTTTACTTTTGATAGGTGAATTGACAAAACAGACTAGGGATTCCTCCACCTCCCCCACCACGCCATACCACTCAGCATTTTATAATGAATAATTCAAGCACACGGAAAGGTTGACAGAATTGTACAGTAAGCACCCATTTACCTATCACCTAGATTCTATCATTAACACTTTGCTATCTCTGCTTTATCATATATGGAGCCATCCATCTATCTATCCTATATTTTGATGCATTTTAAAGTTACAGATATCAGTATTCTTCATGCCTACATTCTTCAGCTTGCCTATTAACTGTAGTTCACTTTTTTGGTAAAATTTACATCATGAAATGCAGATCTTAAGGATAAACATCCTGGCCGGGCGCGGTGGCTCAAGCCTGTAATCCCAGCACTTTGGGAGGCCGAGAC